ACATTCGTTTCTTCCAGTGGTCTTTATCTGATCCTTCATACCCGTTAGGAAGCAACTATATTCAGTATTAATTAAGCAAATACACATTTCTGTGATGTATTCTTTTACTCTAATTGATCAACACTAAAAGGTCTCAAATGAAATGTCCAAGGGAATCTAGAAGGTGTGTGACATTATTTAAGAAGCCTACTTGAAATGTACAGGTAAATTAATGTTACCTTTGCCTTATTTGGGAATGAGAGGAAAAGCAAGTATTGATATCTACTGAGTCCACATAAGAAGATATCCTGATAAAAAAATTTTTACTAAAATAGACATATAATATTGTTAATGATAAAAATGGAATTTTTATCCTTGCAAAATAAATAATTTATTAATGATTCTACTTGAAATGTACCATCTGTAAGGAACACTCAGTGCCATCCTCATTTCATTTTCTCAAACTCTTCAGTCCTCAGCCACCTGTTCATCTTCTGCGGCCTCCGTTCATCACTGATGATTCCACCCTTTGCTCTGCCACAGCCTGCTGAATCTTTCCCCTTCACTGAGCTGCGGCTTTCCTTGGCCCTCACGGGAACTCCCACTTCCATTTTCCTCCTGTACCTCGAATCCTTTCCTTCTGTTTCTCCCCTCCAGCTTCAACTGCTGAGGTTCTCCAGAATTCTTCTCAAGACCTTCTGGTTTACTCATTGTACCCACTCTTCACAGGCATCTTATTCATTACTAACACTTCAGTTATCATCTCTATCCTGATCATTCGCCTTTATCTGTAGAGTTTGTATTTACATTCCCAACTTTACACCTGCCTATTTCAACAGCGAATGCAATGACTTCAGATTTCTCATTAAAAACAAGTACAGCCAGAAACCAGTGACATCACATGTTTAAAGTGACGTGAGAACTGTCAAGTCAGAGTTCCACACACAGTGAAAACATGTTTTAGCAACGAAAGCAAAATAAAGATAATCTACAATGAAAGAAAACTAAGAGAATTCATAGCCAGTAGAAATGCATAAAATCAAATGCTAAAAAAATTCTCCAGGCCAGAAAAAAAAGAACAATTATACTAATGTTAAATAGAAACTTGAAACTTAAGGAATGAAGAAGAAAGCAGAAATTGGTAAGTGTCTAAATAAATATATTACACTATTATTTTCCTCTAAAGTCCTTTAAGATATGTATACTTATTGAAATATTAAAAAGTATAACATTTTGTGATGGAGTTCTGAACACATGCAGATGTAGTATCTATGACAGCTATAATACAGAATGGGAAGGCTACAGGGACCAATTTGGTGATAAGATCTTCAACTTCACTGGAAATGAAGAATCATCTCTAAGAAGACTAACAAGATATTAGGCATATATGTTGTAACTTCCAGAACCACCACACATACATGTACACAGCACTGTACAAAGAGATACAGTTTCAATACATAAATTAGGCCAGGCATGGTACCTCACACCTATAATCCCAGCACTTTGGGAGGCCGAGGAAGGCAGAAGGCTTGAGGTCAGGAGTTCGAGACCAACCTGGCCAACATGGTGAAACCATGTCTCTACTAAAAATACAAAAATTAGCACTGGCGTGATGGCACACGTCTGCAGTCCCAGCTACTTGGGAGGCTGAGGCAAGTGAATCACTCGAACCCAGGAGGCATAGGTTGCAGTGAGCCGAGATCGTGCCACTGCACTCTGGCCTAGGCGACAGGGGGAGACTTCATCTCAAAACAAAACAAAGATAAATTAAAAGAGAATTCAAAAAGTATTAAAATAATCTAAAAGGGGACAGGAAAAGTGAAAGAGGAAGCAAACAAAAAAAAATAGTAGGCTATATTCAAATGTACTGATAATTACATTAAATATAAAAGGACTAAACATACCAATTAAAGAGAGTTTGTCATATTAATTAAAAAATAAGACTCAGCTTAGGCTTTCTATTAAGAAAAGCAAAGTTAAATGTCATGACATGGATAAATCAAAGTTTAGAGGAAGATATAACACATAAACACTAATTAAATAAAAGCTAGAGTGACTATTAATATCTAAGTACACTTCAGAACAGATAAAATCCATTAAAATACACAAATTTTAGTTCGTTTAATTTTTTTAAATTATCAGAAAAATGTATTGCGTAAGTGCTATGGACTAAAGATACCCCCAAGTGTATTTGTTAAAACCCTGGCACACGTCTGCAGTCCCAGCTACTTGGGAGGCTGAGGCAAGTGAATCACTCGAACCCAGGAGGCAAATGATCCCATTTGGAGGTGTGGCTTTTGAAAGGTGGTTAGATTTAGATGGGGGCATGATAGAGTGGTCTCCAGGATGGGATTAGAGCCCTTATAAGAAGAGGACAGGTAAGGACACAGGAGAAGATAGCCACCTGCAAGCCAGGAGGAGAGCCCACACCAGGAACGGGCAGGCACCTTCATCTAGGACTTGCAGCCTCCAGAGACTTGAGAAATAACTCCTGTTGTTTAGGCCACCCAGTATCTGGAATTTTGTTATGGCAGCCTGAGCCGAATGAGTGAGCTGTGCCAGCTATGAATTCTCGTAGTGTTCTTTCATCATAGATGATTTTGCCTTCGTTCCTAAAGTATATTTTATGTGCATGGAATTCTGACTTGACAGTTCTTATAGCACTTTAAAAATGCTGTTTCGCCATTTTCTGGCTGCATTTGTTTCTAATGAGAAACCGAAATTCACACCAAATGAAGAAATATGCCCCTAGTGTGCTACCTATTACAGTGACCTACCTATATTAAGAATTGTACTCACATATATGTTGAATGTAAAAAATGGTGGCCAAAAAATTTTAAGAAAATTCAACGTACACAGTTCACTTACATTTAGCTCCTAAAGGAATCATGCATACTTAAGAAATCTCATTAATTTCCTGGGCAACATACAGGGAGTGCTAAGTCTTCGGTACAAATGAAAGCCAGGAAGATATCATAGGCAATAGAAGGTTCCAAAAGAGAAGTAGATTTGATGAGTAGATTCGAATTGGTAGAAATCTTGGGTACATGACTGGATACAGAGAAACAAATTAGGGGAAAAAACAAAAATTCCATTATTTTGTGGTTGGTGGTGATGGGGGCTGGGGGGACGGATGCTCAAAATTGTGAAAAAGTCACTTATTGTGATGTGTATCCAAATGGTGGCAAACTGGCAATACTGTTAAATAAAAGCTGCTTATTGCAATCAGAAATGATGAGTTCGTGTCGTTTGTAGGGACATGGATGAATCTGGAGAACATCATTCTCAGCAAACAGACACAAGAACAGAAAATGAAACACCGCATATTCTCACTCATAGGCGGGTGATGAAAAATGAGAACACATGGACACAGAAAGGGGAGTACTAAACACTAGGGTCTATTGGGGGGAAAAGGGGAGGGCCAGTGGGAGGGGGAGGTGGGGAGGGATAGCCTGGGGAGAAACGCCAAATGTGGGTGAAGGGGAGAAAGCAAACAGAACACCCTGCCATGTGTGTACCTATGCAACTGTATTGCATCCTCTGCACATGTACCCCAAAACCTAAAACGCAATAAATAAATAAATAAAAGCTGCTTATTTTAACCTTTAGAATTGCTTTAATAAATTCTGAAATAACTTACTGGCTGCACGGTAGCTATGCTCTATAACACATTGTTTTCTTTGAAAAACAAAAACACAGGTGTCCATTTCTACGTATTTTTCAAATAATAACGCCACTGTGTTCAGAGAGGGGCACCAGTATCAATCACAGCAGATGCTGAAGATGGCAGAGCGGCATGTTTACCTAATCGTGAACTAGCAAAATTTTAGAATAACGTTTCCTGTTTTCCATAAGAAAATGTTTCAATGTTCTTAAATTTAATTCTTGCCAGTTAAATTGAATAAGAAGAAAATGTTTAGAAAATAAAACTGTCTCTCAGATCAACTGTAAATTTTTCCAAATAAACTTTATGATTCCCTTTAATTTTTGGAATGTCCTCATATGTTATTTTTATCCACTCAGGCTGCCATAGCAAAATACCATAAGCTCAGTAGCTTATAAATAACACGCATTCATTTCTGAAAGCTGGGAAGTCCAAGGTCAAGGTGCCAGTCAATTTGGTGTTTGGCGAAGATGGAATCTCTGGTTCACAGACAGCGCGTTCTCCCTGTGTACTCAGCTGGTAGAAGAGATGAGGGAGCTCTCTGGAGGCTCTTTTATAAGGGACTAATTCCATTCATGTGGGGTCCACTCTCAAGATCTAATCACCTCCCAAAGACCTCATCTCCTCTAATACCATCATCCTGGGATGAAGGTTTCCACATGGGAATTTGGAGGGAACACATGTTTTTAGAAAATAATAAAAAAAGCAAGGTATTTTGTGGCGACATGATTTTCGGGTGAATTCTGCAGCTGCAAGGCTGCCAGTGAGTACTCTTGGGGCAAACGGGAAAAGGGTTAAGCTTCCAAGTTTGTGGTAGTTTGTGGCATCCCCAGGAAGTTAATATAGGCCTTTTATTAAAATGTATTATGAACAAATGGATGTGTATTAGTACCTGTCCCAAATCCACTATGAGGCATATGCACATAATGTGTAATGTGAGAGGAAGGTGGGGGGCAATTTCATTAATATAAGCACATTGTTTCCTAAGGATCTAACTTAGGAAAAGATCACACCATTGAATACACAGGATCTGGTGCTTTACTAATTAATATCATCATCTTTTAATAAAAAGAAAATACAACGTGTAGCACAATGTCTCTCAAACAGTAGGCACTCAACAGGTATCTGTGAAATCATTAATAATGGATTCATGAGTGATTCCTATTTATCATGCTTCAATAAAAACATCTTTCATATCTTACACATTATTAAAATGCTATTATGTATAAGTCTTAAAACACTGACCAACGGCCAAGCTTCAAGTAGGCTTCTATCCTAATATGTAACAACATTAAACAGTCTGGACATTAACAAAGTCTAGAATCTCTGCATTTATAGACTCTCAAATCGTACATACGTGTCTGTCCTCAGCCCCACAAGCCACGAATCGTCCACAAGGACTGAAAGCGATTCCACATGGATAGCTACGGTTTGGGTGCCCTTCGAAGTGGCGCTCACACCTATGGGGAGGAAAGAAACACCAAGAGAAAAATAAATTTTAAATTTTAATACAAATTAAAGGAGAGAAAACAACTTGTTGCTTTTCTTCACAAACAGGCAAAAATGAATAATGAAAGAATATTTTATATGTGAGAATTATTAAATGGTTAATGGGTCTCTTCCATTTAAAAATGGGATATTTAAAAATAATTCAAACACCATTCAAAATCACAAATCCCAAAGATGACAAAACTAATAGTAAATAAACTTTTATATATGATAAATATTAAATGTAATCATATTCTGGAAATTTTTTAAATATCAGAACAAACCTAACAAATCTTCTAAAATAGTAAATTATTTAGATAAATTATTCCAAGACTTTTGGGAGGTGAAACATTCTATCAAGGGTGGTTAAGTTTCACAACTATTTAAAAAGTAGCATATGAAATTTGTTTACTGTAAAAAAAAGTCAAGGAATTCCTATTAATTATGGAGAAAATCTCCAACACATTTTGGGGATGACCAGAGCCTTCATAAGAAGCCTCCATAAGCCTTGACCAGCACAGGGCTGGGGACCACAAAGATGCCCTGCAGGGTCCCTGCTCAAGGTGCCCTGAGTGGTGGCAAAGTCACACAGCACACAGGTGACTATACACAATACAAATACAATACAACACAAATATAATACAATACCAATGCAAATACAAAATAGAAACACAAAACACAAAGGATGCGCTTTTGTATTTGATTAAAGTGATGAAAGAGCGCGAAGACACTCTGCTAATTGTATCCCTGTGAATCGGTATATGTGCATGCACATGACATAAAAATCCGTATCAGCTTGTGATGTTGTTATATATATTATCTATGCAGTGATCATTATATTATATATGTAGTGACCATAATTATCAGGAAATATATACTTTTTGCTTAAAAAGGATTTTATTTGTATATAAAATAATTTACATTTCATATAAATACATAAAGTTAGCAGAATATACATGATGATCTGTAAATAAAGCATATGACTGTTGGTAACAATGTAACTGCCTAAACTATCTAACTTTGGAATGCTGGAAGCCGGTTCACATAAAGTTATGTAACCTTTACATATCTAGTAATGACTTTTACTGACATAAAATTGGCTGTAAAATAAAATAACACTGGCAGAAACAGTAATCAATTAGTCCTACATAGGCAATTTCATAACAATTTCATTTTTTAGAATAAATATATTTTTATTCCCTTAAAAAAGCAATTTCTGTTGACCACCGACAAGGAATACACTGATTGAACACTTTATATTTATAGGAATGATTTATATTTTCAAAACAATCTTAGGAAAATCAATTAAGATAGCTTAGCTATTTTTTATTAACTTGTTTTCCATATGATATCTGTAGTTCCAGATGTTACAGTAGAGGCTCACCCTGTCTTCTGGATCTTAAAACACTTCTGTCGAAATCCTCTGAGGATTGCAAGTAGAAATCCTTAAATATTCACTGTCCAAATTTCAATGAAGAGACCCCGTGCAGTAGAGCAGTGTCCACTTCATTACATGCCACAGCAATGGAGCTGTACAACCAAAGAACCATCTCTGAACAGGACTGCTCTGGCTCCACGTGGGCAGCAGTTCAGCTGAAAACACATTCCCACAACCACACCTATCATCTAGAATCATACCGAATGCAGCTAATGCCTGAAAACACTTGTTTGAACAACAAAGCTTTTTAAGTGTGAAATGGTTCTACACAGTTGTGATTAAAAATGCCATGTCCATGTAATATCTTAATTTGTGTGTCAAGTTCAGTATTTTATTTGTTGACTACCCATTATGTCCTATGTAGTATAAATTCTACAAAGATTTTTTTTATTTTTGAGATGGAGTCTCATTCTGTCACCCAGGCTGGAGTACAGTGGCGTGATCCCAGCTCACTGCAACCTCCGCCTCCTGGGTTCAAGTGACTCTCCTGCCTCGGCCTCCAGAGCAGCTGGGATTACCACGCCCAGCAAATTTTTGTATTTGTACTAGAGACGGGGTCTCATCATGTTGGCCAGGCTGGTCTCAAACTCCTGACTTCAGATTATCCACCTGCCTTGGCCTCCCAAAGTGCTGGGATTACAGGCGTGAGCCACTGTACCCAGTCAAGATAATTCTTTTTTTTTTCGAGATGGAGTCTTGCTATGTCACCCAGGCTGGAGTGCACTGTCACAATGGCCAAGATAATTCTGTCTAGAAAAATCTGTAGATGGTAATATAGGGCAGTAGAAAAATAACCCGAACTATACTGTACTACTGAGAAAAAAATGAAATCTTTGCAAAAATGTCATAAACACTTGTCATATATTTCTTTCTTTCTTTTACATTATTTTTTAAATTTTCACATTCTTCTTTTACTATTGGGGTGTTGAACAATGAGAACACATGGACACAGGGAGGGCAGTACTACACACTGGGGTCCGTTGCAGGGAATAGGGGAGGGACAGCAGGGGGTGGGGAGTCGGGGAGAGAGAGCATGGGGAGAAATGCCAGATATAGGTGAAGGGGAGGAAGGCAGCAAATCACACTGCCACATGTGTACCTATGCAACAATCTTGCATGTTCTTCACATGTACCTCAAAACCTAAAATGCAATTAAAAAAAATGATTTCAAGACCAGCCGGACCAACACAATGAAACCCCCATCTTAAAATTAAAAAAATAAAAACACACACACAAAAGAAAAACCACAAAGAAAAAAATCGTCAAAGCACTCATAATCCTTCCATTCAATGACAACCATGGAAAGTAATGTGGCACATGTACTACACATTTTCTCTGCATATGCAAAGGGCTTTTTTCTTTTAACAAAGTAGAGGTGCATATCCTGCTATGTCTACCCCAAAATACACCATGAACATTTCCCTCACAATCATGTGTTTCTTGTCCAATGAGCTCAGCAAAGAGGCCATAGAAAGCAATGGCCAAGACCAGGTGACCCAGAGCCGGGCTCAACCCCGACCCTAGCTCAGCCCCTTCTCACCAAATGAGCAACTCTGGTGAGTTGCTCACCTCTGTGCTGCATTTTCCCCATTCCTGAAATGGGCTTAAATAAGTTCACAAAGTAAATTTCTTCTTACAGCAATTGGTACATTAATAAGTGCTCTAGAAGTGTAATTGGACTGGGTTCAAGAGAAATTTTAAAATATTTGAAATAAATGAGGGTGATAACACAACACAGTGAAGCCTGTGGGATACAGTAAAAGTAGCGTTAAAGAGGGAACTTTACGCCATTAAACGCCATATATATATATATGTATATATATATAACCAGAAAGGTCACAAATTAACAACCTAATGTCATACCGCAAGGAACAGGAAAAGCATGACAAAGCCAAACCCAAAGTTAGCAACAGAAAAGAAATTGAAAAGAAAGAACAAAGCAGAACTAAATAAAATAGAGACCAACAAAACAACTTAAAGGACCAACAAAAGGAAAAGTTGGTTATTTGAGGAGACAAACAAAATTGATAAACCACTCATTGACTAACCACGAAAACATGGGCTCTAAATAAACAAAATTAGAAGTGAAAAAAAAGGGGATTACAACCACAGGAATGCAAAATGTCATCAGAGACTACTACGAAAAAACTACACACTCACAAAATAAAAAATCTAGAGGAAATGGGTAAGTTCTTCGAAACACACAACTCCCCAGTATTGAACCAGGTAGAAATAGAAAACCTGAACACACCAATAATGAATAGAAAGACTGAATCAGAAAAAAAAAAGTGTTCCAACAAAGAAAAGCCCACAACCAGATGAATTCATAGACAAATTCCACCAAACATATAAAAAAGAACTAATATCAATCTTGAAATTGTTCCGAAACATCAAGAAAAAGGGAATTCTCCCTAATTCATTCTATAAGGTCAATATCATTCAGATACTAAAACCAGAAAAAACAAAGAAAGAAAACTACAGACCAAGATCCCTGATGAACATAAAAACAATTTTCAATAAAATACTAGCAAACAGAATCCAATAGCACATCAAGAAAATAATACACTATGACCAAGTGGGTTTTATACCAGGGATGCAAGGATGGTTCAACATATAAAAATCAATAAATGTGATACATCACATAAACTGAATCATGAACAAAAAACATATGATAATCTCAGTAGATGCAGAAAAAAAGCACTTGATAAAATTCAGCATCTCTTCATGATAAAAATCTTCAATTAAAAGTAAGTATTGAAGAAACATACATAAAAATAATAAAGCCATAATACAACAATCCAACAGCCAAGGTTATACTGAATGGGGAACAGTTGAAAGTCTTTCCTCTAAGAACTGGAACAAGAGAAGGATGCCCACTATCTCCAGAAGTCCTAACCAGAGCAATTAGGCAAAAAAAAAAACTGGTTTCTTTTTTTGTTTGTTATAAAGAAGCAACCAAATTGGTAAAGACGGTATCAAATTATTCCTATTCACTGATAATAAAATCTTATATCTAGAAAAACCTAAAGACTCCACCAAAAAACACTATTAGATTTGATAAATAAATTCAGTATACTTTCAGAACACAAAATCAATGTGTAAAAAGCAGTAGCATTTCTATACATCAATAATGATTAGGTGAGAATCAGACATTAGTCCTATCTACAATAGCTACAAAAACAATGAAATACCTAGAAATATAATTAACCAAGGAGGTAAAATATCTCTACCGGGAATACTATGAAACATCAATGAAAGAAACTGCAGATAACACAAACAAATAGAAAAAGTTCCCATGCTCATGGATCAGAAGAATTAATATCATTAAAATGACCATACTGCCCAAAGCAACCTATAGATACAATGCAATGCCTATCAAAATACCAATGTCATTTTTCACAAAATTAAAAAAAAAAAACCTAAACTTCATAAGGAACCTAAAATGACCCCAAATGGCCAAAGTAATCTTAGATAAAAAGAACAAAGCTGGAGGCATCACATTCCCTGACTTCAAATTATACTACAAAATTACAG